ATAACTCACTGTTCAATGGCATTAAGTGCTGAGTAAAATAAAATGGAATCGTGAATTTATCGGTATTCGGTGACGTCTCATATGACTAAAATATTCTTGCAAGGGAACAGTAAACTATCAGTTTATTTTCTTTCATCGTAATGTAACCCAGCAACAATCTAGGGGTTTTATAGTTAATATTATATGGAGAAAAACCTGCAACAATCATATATAATATACTAAATATTCAAACTTTACACACAGTTCACTAACTTTAAATATCCATATAACAAATCTTACACTATAAACTTTAACATTAAATGAAGTAAATTAAATGTATATCTTGAAATTATGAATTATTAAATAGAAATAAATAGATAAAACCTTCCCAGCCTACATCACCTTTTATCATGTGCGTCTACCTTGACGGTGTGCATCGGTATGGACGGGCAGGTAATTTAAAAACGGGTTTTGTTAGCATGAATCTCTCTCTCTCTGTCATTCACCCCTTATTTCTTTTGTACGGAATCACGTGAGAAACAAACAATTAAAAACCGACAAACAATGAAGACACTTCACTGTAGTACCTTAACCACAAGTAGGTGGATCCAAGATCCAACACCTGAATACAAAAAAAAAAACACCTTTGACATTGTTACACTCGAGTTTTGTTCTTAATATTTTTTCTTCGATATGATGCAAAATGTTTGCTCTAAGAACCTAAGACATCGATGACCCCGCATCGTTTTAGACAGCATAAGCCTCAGTCTGCAGTGCATGAATAAAAATACAGGCAATGTTTTAGATTATGCCTTTTGTGATAACTTCACATGGCAATCCCAAGAACAGGTAGGGCACATTTCTTTTATTTTCAATTTCTTTTTTGTAATTTAAGTGAGTTATGGTTTTAAAATGTGGCAAAATGATGAAGACACTACAATATAAGAAACTGTTTGGTATATTATTAGACATCAGAGGTATGACAATTTAAGAAGAAATCAGTACTTAGCGAGAATGCGGAGACAACAAAATTACTTGTGCACTTATGCGACTGAAAATAAACTAGAAATATTTGCTACTTATAGGATCTCTACCATTTGTTATGATAAGTTAAAAAAAACTGCATTTGATACATTTATATAAATAGTCATAAAATGAAGGCTGTTGGCGAATATGTTTTCAAGTTTAACATTTACACGTAGGACACAAAACTCAACGTGGGGAACATAGGGCAAAATGATAAGCAGTTTCAGTTTCCTGTTGTTTGATAAAATCAATTCATAAATATGGACAGTATGATTATGGGACAGTATATCTGGCATGCTTTACTATTTATCCGTACCTAGATGCTAGATCTTTTCAAATAAACACATACATGTTAAATTACTTTTATGTTGTCATCTTCTGTTTTTGTACCCTCAGTCCTTTTTTGTATTCAAAAGGGAAAAAAATAATTAAAAAAACCTATATACAATAATTCAAAAATACATGTATTGATAAGAATAATGATGCTTTGAATGATTTTTTCAAATTCAAGAATATTAGTCTTAGATGAATATAGCTTTTTTTCAAAGTTGTTCATGTCAGTGTTTGACTTGATATATATTGTTTTCTACTTCCCTTAATTTAAAATTAAATAAGCAGCAGCCTAGTAATAATTGGTAATTTGTTCTTTTTCAAACAAAAACAGAAAATATATACTAAATAATGAATTATACTAGTTTTGTGAATATTATACATGAAATAGATCTAGAATTTCACCAAAGAGAAAATTTATTTACATATAACTATGTTAAATTCAATTCTTTTGGAAATTTTCTATATACGTGGAAGCCAAGATTATTCAAAAATGATATTTTTACACATTCTAAAAACACTTGACGAATGCATTGTTTTTATATTATGTTTGCAAAATGTTCAATAATTATTAATGGATAACATCTTTGTTTCTTTAAAAAGTGATTGTTTTACTGGTAGGCTTCTATGAAGATTTCCATGTTGTAATCATTGCACATGAGTACAAGTATTAAAAAAATGATTCTAACAGCATTGACAGTTCCTGGGTCCATCAAAATATTTATGTAAAAATGACATGCATGTTTGTTCAAATATTTGTAAATTGTTTTTCTACACTTTTCATATAACATAATGTTTTGAAAAAAAAAAAAAAAAAAAAAAAAAAAAAATAGGGTACAGATATATGTATTACGCACCAATATATATATATATAGAGAGAGAGAGAGAGAGAGAGAGAGAGAGAGAGAGAATTTCGCAAAATATAAATAGAAAAATCTTGAAAGAATCAAATAAAGGAGATTTTGTAGATATACTATAAATTAATCTGTCACTATGTCGAATTAATGATGACTAAACGTCTTTCATACAAATTGTTAGGCCATTATTTTTTATACTGATTGTCTACATGTGTCTCTGATCAAGACAAGGGACATATATCGGGTCTGATCGGTTGCCAAAGGATGCTTACATGTACTCATCTATGGAACCTACTCCCCACTCTGATGTTTCCAGAGCTAGGGGTCCGTCGGATTCTCATTTCGGGACATTAACAATTTATCATATATACAGTCAGCAGATAATCAGTTTGGTATACAACAAACACAACCTCTACAAAAAGTAGACTGACTGTAAGATATCAATCCTAGATATTTTTGACAATTTTTTCAGATCCTATGTGCTTCATGTTCAATTGGTCAGCTAAAAATTGCAAAACCTGTAATACAGTATTTTGATAACAAATACGTGTACTTCGATTTACAGCAACATTACGGGACAAAGTTTTTTTATGCTAAAACTTGTGAAAATTTGATTTGAAAACTTTTTGAGAACAACATAATAGGAATTGTTCATTAAGAAACAAATCCTTCAGATCGTCATAGGATTTTGAAGTTTTGGAAAGTTCAACCCAGCTTTCTAAATAATTGTCAAGTCTTGAGGAAAACTGTGAAAATGCCTCACTACCATCAGGTTTTGTTGTTCGAAATCTTTTTTTTTTCGGAAACCATCCTCTGTCATTTCGAAACGTTGGTAAAGAGCCTTTTTAAGTTCCTCAATTTTTTAGTGCACTGTTAGGTGGAAGTCTTGTGAAAACATCTAATGCCTTTCCTGTCAAGAGAGCACTTGGGTGAGATCCCCAGTTATTGATATTCCAACGTTTAACTTTAGTATATCTCTCAAAACGCTAAATATAAGCATCTATATTGTCTTTTGATTCGTCAAATGCTGGAAGTTTGGGACTTTTTCCGGTTGATGGGTTTCCGTCAGATGGGTAGAATCAAGTGCTGACTTTAGAGATCTCTCTAAAGCAAGAGTCTGGAACTGATGATCAATTTCAAGTTCTTGGGTTTTCCGTTTTTGTTCAGACACTGCAAATTAACTAGATTTGAAAAAATTCTTTAAATTAAACTTGGCAAACCTTCACAATTGGAACGATCTTAACTGATTTGGAAAAAGAAAGTTTGTCAACTACCGCTGCCACCAAATGCAACGTGGTTGAGCCAGGCTATCTCCAAATAACACTAAAGACAGTTCCAATTAATAGAAATTTATTTACAAAAAAACAGAATTATATATTTACACACTCATTTGCACACTCACATTCGCACACCGTTCTCTTTCACATATACTTATACGAGAAAAATCAATAAACCTTCATAATTTGACAGACAGACAGACTAAATGTTATTTTCTTTATATAATATCTTATAATAATTTACATTGTTGCCCGTAAATGGTCACCTGTACAGTTCTGTATATCTAGATTACCCACAATCACATCAAAAGTTTCGGCATAGGTTCGTTGATCGATCGTCCTATCGCTTCTTGGGCTGAGGTCCCGGAATTTTTGGAATGGAGATGATCAACCTTGCTTTTGATCCCTCCGGAATACTGCTCAGCTAACGTACTTCTCCAAATTAAACATAACGCTACAATTTACAGGGCCCATAAGTCATCGAATTAGGCAACACATTATAATGGCAACACTTAATGATATTACATTTAGATAATACACATACACCTAAAGAAACACTCAAAAGTGACACAAAGTAGTCATTCAAAATTGGGTGTTAAAACTCCCGCTACTGATACACTTGACTGCTCACACAGGTAAGTTAGACAAGTGAATGTAAGTCAAGGTTATATTTAGGTCAATCGATAAACAAGAATACTTACAAAATACACGCTAAATATAAATATTCAAAAATACATAACATACATACCAAGGTCCGTGCCCTTGTTATACTTATGGTATTGCACGTTGCATACTGCAAAATATACTGTTCATGCAGCAAAATTCAGCTGCCCTCTAAATGCGTGTCTCTTATACGGCAGCTCACCCTGGAATGTCCCAGTGAAAGTTAAATTACGTGACTTTTGCATAAGCTATGAACTATGGGTAATAATGGGTACAGACACCAAAGGACCGTAAAACTAACCTGATATACAAGTGATTGTCACAAACATAAGTAACATTCTTAATCATAAAAAAGTTTAGTATTGCAATCCAACATATTTCAACTTGAAGTCTACACTCTGCATTTCCTATGGATATTTCCAAACTTTTTCAATTACAGACAAACCTTACAGTGCCTAAATATTGAACATCTGAAACAAAATCCTCTCAGATTCTTGCTCTTCTTCCTTTAAGTATAGTCCCACTGGACGTGTCATTACCGGTGAGGATAATAAAGCCGAAAATGAAGACCAAAATGTCCCAAATCCAGGTGGCAGACACGTTTTCATTCTCCTATAAATTAACAATGAGTACACCGTACTTTTGCGTTTTATGAAATAGGATTGATAAACATTAAGTTTTATCATTTTTAAAGGGAAATGATGCTTAAAAAATTCTCAATTTAAAAAAAAACTAGCTAGATGCATATTAAGACAAAATAATTATTCTTATTTTTAGGGTTCAGCAGATGGAGGTTTCTATTCGACTCTTTGTTTTGTTAATCCTTATTGGATTAACATTCCTCGTGATAGAATTTGTTTTTCAAAAAATGGAAGGACATCATTTCCGTGCTTATCAAAACTGTAATTTATCAAACAAAACAGAGTGGAGAATATTGTGGTACAATATACCATCATATTTAGTAAACGCCTTAAATTATACGAAATTGAAAACGCGTGAAAAGCATCCATACTGGATTTTTTCTCATGATAAACACGATTTATCTAAGAGTGATATTGTGATTTTTACACATAATACAATGGGTAAAGTTCAACCGTATAAATCAGAGTGTCAAATTTGGATTTTAAACACCATGGAGACTGATATATTCATGAAAAAATACTACAAGGAATGGAATAATAATTTGGATTGGTTGATGTCTTATCGCAGAGATTCAGATATATATCGACCGTATGGGATACTTAGGAAACGTAAGACCCTTTTGGTGAAGAATTATACGGAGGTATTTCAGAAGAAGAAATTTTTTGGTGTGTGGATGTCAGGACATTGTCCAGTGCCGTCTCGTCGTAAAGATTACATACTTAATTTAAAGAATTATATACAGGTCGATATGTTCGGATCTTGTGGGAGGTCTGTTTGTCTTAGTCGAACTCCAGGACTAAATGAATGCTTGCGAAACTTTTCTCGTGATTACAAATTTTATTTTGCCTTTGAAAATAACATCTGCAAAGACTACACGACAGAGAAATTATTTAATGTATTTTTGGGTGATTTAGATGTTATACCTGTAATTAATGGACCGCAAAGTGTAGCGGAATACATACCTAATGGAACATTTATAAACGCTCTAGATTTCACTTCGCCGAAAGCTCTGGCGGATAAACTGAAGGAAATTGGCTCAAACAAAACTCTTTTTACTCAATACCTTAGAGAAAAGGACAAATATATAGATATTGGTTTGAATGATATATTTCTACAGTCAGTCTTCCAGATATTTGACAAAATTAATCAAACAAATGGAACAATTGTACGATGCAAAGCAAGTATAGAAGAGCATTTCTTTCAGAGAGAAGGATGCTAATATATATATATATATATATATATATATATATATATATATATATATATATATATATATATATATATATATATATATATATATATGTAGTACGAACCAGACCCAACCTGATACCTCGGGACTGCTTTGTGTCAGGTTGGGTCTGGTTGGTACTATATATATATATAAATAAATCCAAGAAAAATCATAGTGGTCGGTGATAAATATGAAATTGCATTACAGTTGTACAATTTATAAAATGGAAAGACAGTGAAAGTTTTGTTTCCGCATAAGTCTAGGTGTTTACTGATTTTAAGAACCAGTACACACGGTAAGGCTTGCCTTATAAGTCTAAAACCTTACGTTTTGCATGCCGTACGACTTTCATGTCCACACTAAAAAGATTGGAAACTTGCATGTCAACATATATATAATTATCATGCATGTAAAGATAATTATCTTGCATGTTGACATACTTTTCCCGCATGTTACCATAATTTATCTAGCATGTATGGGGCGGAGATGGACCACTTTGACAAAGCGGTCTCCTTAGTCGCGAATTATATACAACGAGGCCTACAGTGTTAAGGAAGCAATTTGTCAATAGCTTGCAAATCACAACTTATAAAAGTCTTTCGACTTATAGATAGTAAGTCATATAACTAGTAAGCACCAGGAATGAGTGATTATTTGAATTGGATTAAAAATATATAATAAAAAGATAATTTACAGATAAATGTCATTTGAAACGAAAGAGAGCTTCCACCGCTACAGTTGCTTTCCATTCCTGCATTTCACTTGACGTCAATTACCTAGGGAGAAAACAAACCATCGTTTTTGAAAAAGTTATCACAGACACACACAGTGGGTATATTAGGAATTCCGGAAACTACAGAATACCAATGTCTGGATATTACGTATTAATTAACTTGGGTCACACCAGTCGTCGGCAATATTCCATTGGAGCTGATTGTGAATGGGGAACAAAAAGGGGGCACTGATCCGTCAAACACAGGAAATGGTGCTTCTCAAAGTACGACAGGAATAGCAGTGTTGTCATTATACGAAAACGATGATGTGTATATTCGTACACATCCAGGCGCAAGTCCCTCTGGTGTACTGGTCAGCAATGTATGGCAAGAAACCTGTTTTTCAATTTGGAATATTTAATAACAGTTACTGTGAATGAATTGTGTGTAATTTTACTTTATGCAAAAATTTAGCTTTATGTTAAAATGTCAAAAATGAAATATAAATTATGTATTTTTTTAACTTCAGAGGAAAACATTTCTCACTGGGATAACCTCAGTGATACTGATGCTGTAATTTGTAGAAAATGACTAGGGAATATCACATTTTTACACTGAAATGGTACATAAATTAATTTGCTTCACAAATTTCTGCCTATTGGATCATCAAACAGTTTAATTTAATTTTTCAAGCGAGATTGGTGCCTGTGGAAATTCTAGTATAGCTAGCATCAGTAGTTTCTATTTCAATTTATAATAAATGTTCACTTTTTTAAAAACATATCTTGACAACTAGGTCATCCTAACTACATGTATCAACTAAATGTTTTTTTACACGGTTACAATTCAAACTTGTTATGGAATAGTAATTCAAAATTCATGTTAACTGAGAATTTTTGTTCTAAACAGATAGCAAAGATTAAACCATCCTCTGATGAGGATCAAATACCCTTTTTTAACAGGAAATCAAAGATTACATATTTCCTGAAAAGTATACATGCAACCGAGAAATACATGTAGATATGCAATAAGTTCTTTTAAATATTTCTTTCTAAGTCTATCTAGATCTAATTTCAAATGAAATTATTTCATGATTGGCTTTTTTACTTGCACTAATTTGCTTAATTAATACTTATTGCAAGTTTTTAAAAAAATGTTTTTACACTTTATAGATGCATTAAAGTTAACTGTTTACCACTTGCGGGGCAATAATTATAATGTATCTTGTGTTCGACATATTTTAATGGCCTCCAGTGAAAGATCTATTACATGTATCAGCATGTGAAGCATGAGAATTATAGATCTCCATTTCTCCACTTTACTTCATTGTGATGATTTCATACTTTGGCAATGTACATATATTTCTGCATAATATACGCAAAAAGCAGACTCTTCCTCGGTTTAATTTATCATTCAGATGGATTTATTTCAATCTTTATGAAAACCATCTATCCTTCTGTATTCAATAATCCAGAAGTGAAAAAAAAATTAGATAGATTACATGATCAGTACGTACTGGTCCCTGCTGACAAAGCAGGTAACAACATTGTCTTTGTTTGTAAGGCTCATTATATTAAATGTATTTTAGAGGAACTTGGATTTAATTCTACAAGTGGTAATCCAACTTATACTCATAGTTCCCTTTCTAAGGAAGAAATTCTTCAAAATCATATGTCAGTTTTGAATATTTTTAATATTCCAAACAACCAAAATGAATTTGAATTACCATATTTATATTGGATTCCGAAACTTCATAAAAATCCTTACAAACAAAGATACATAGCGGGTTCCAGTAAATGTTCAACCAAGTCTCTAAGTCACTAAGATATTAACAGTGGTGAAGGAGAAACTTTAAGAGTACTGTGCAACAATATATTCGAGAAGTGGTGTAAATCAGATGTGGATACTTAAAAATTCCAAGGAACTTTTGGAAAATTTGAAATCACAAGATTTTACCAAAATCAACAGCTTAAAAACTTAAGACTTTTCAACTTTGTACACAACCATTCCCCACGATAAATTAAAGTCCAGGCTTTTTGATATCATTGACAGCTGCTTTTTCAATAAAAATGGACCTCGTAAATATACTTGCCTTGTCATTGGTCATTTGCAAAATTATTTTGTTAAAAAACATTCTGATTGTTCACACAAGTACTCTGAAGTTGACATTAAAAAGATGCTTGAGTTTCTAATTGACAATATCTATGTGGTTTTTGGAGACCAGGTCTTCCAACAATCTATTGGAATTCCCATGGGTACCAATTGCGCCCCGTTATTAGCAGACCTTTTTTTGTATTCATATGAAGCAGAATTTGTCCAAAATCTTGTACGTGAAAAGAAGAAAACACTTGCTGTGGCCTTCAACTCGACATTTAGATATATCGACGACGTATTGTCAATTAACAATGGCTATTTCCATTCCTATGTCGATACAATATATCCTGGTGAACTTGAGATAAAAGATACCACAGAGTCTAACACATCTGTGTCATATTTGGATATTTTACTTGAAAAAGACGTTAATGGTAATCTAACAACCAAGCTTTATGATAAACGTGATGACTTTAACTTTTCAATCGTCAACTTCCCTTACTTATGCAGCAATATACCTTCATCACCTGCATACGGGGTAAATATCTCTCAGTTGATTCGATACGCAACAGCATGCTCTACGTATGAACAATTTCTAAAACGAGGTAAGTTATTGACAAACAAGTTGATGAAACAAGAATATCAGCAGTCTCGTTTAAAGTCATCATTTCGTAAGTTCTATGGTCGATACAATGACCTTGTCAGCAAATACAATTTATCATTGAGTTAAATGCTGACTGACGTTTTTCACACTAATTGTTAGGCCATTATTTACACACTGAATTGTCGACGGATTTTTCCGTTATTTCCCGATCATGACAAGGAGCACACGGCGGGTGTGACCGGTCGGCAGGGGATGATCACTCCTCCATGGCACCTGATCCCACCTCTGATGTTTGGAGGTCCGTGTTTGCTCTGCTCCTATTTTGTATTGATTAATGGACTTTTGAGCTTGAATACTGTTCGTTATCTCCATATATTTCATTTCTTATTTTCAATAATACCGATCACAGTAGCCTAGTGGTAGGGCGCTTCCTTCGTGATCGAGAGGCCCGGGCTCGATTCTCGTTCTCCGCGCCGCGTCAAACCTAAGACGTAAACATACGCAGTGACTGTTCTTTCGCTAAAGCGCCTCGCACCAGAAGTGAAAGTCACGGGTCTTTCGGATGAGACCTCAAAAAACCGAGGTCCCGTGTCACGATAGGCCTTGGCACGATAAAGAATCCTCACTGCTCAATAGCCCTGGGTGCCGAGCATGGAACTAAATTTGAAGCCCTTCACCGGCTCTACATGAGCAACACAATTAATCGAAATCAAAAACTGATGTATAGAATTATGTATCTTAGTGTAGTCTACTTTTGTGTTATAATTATAAATATTATATACAGTGTAATAATTAGAATTGTTATACCTTTAAAAATTTGTTCCTATATAAATCAATACTAATAAAAGTCTAACATTTCGAATGTTTTACTGAGCAGGCATTAAAAAATCGATGTTTGACCGCGGAGTGAGATATTGGACCTGTCGATGAGATGTTGGACCGCTTACGTCACATAATGGGCGGGGTCAGCTAAATCTCATTTGCATTTGTTGATGTTCGACATACATGTATGTAAAAAAAATAATAATAAAATAAATAAATAAAAGGTATAACAAAACATTTATTGACTGCGTTCTCGGGCAAAATGCGTTTTGTCGTCCCCTCAGGCAGTTTGGTTCTTGGGTCCGACAAAACGCATGTTGCCCTCGAACCCAGTCAATAAATGTATAATATTGAAATCAGACCAAAACTGGAGGAGTAGCGTTTTGAAAGTAATTCACATAAACTTCTATATTTTTAAAACTATGACAAGATTGTCCAATATATATATATATATATATATATATATATATATATATATATATATATATATATATATATATATATATATATATATATATATATATATATATATATATACAGAATAATGTATCTTAATGCAGTGTCCTTGTGTACCAAGTTACATTAGGATCAGACAAAAACTGTAAAGGGAGTGGCATTTTGAAAGTATTTAACAGAAATTTCTATTTTTAGTTACTATGGTAACACTCTTTATCAGGAATAAAAACCGATGTACAAAATTATGTATCTTAGTGTAGTCTACTTAAGTTCTAAGTTATATTGAAATAAGACCAAAACTG